ATCAGTAGGCACTCCTGGATCACCAAGCACACCAGAGAGCACTCCAGGGTCACCAAGCACACCAGGTTCACCTAGCACTGTTGAAACCCCAAGCACACCAGGATCACCAAGTACACCAGAATCTCCAAGCACACCTGGTTCACCAAGTACTCCAGGCTCATCAAGCACACCAGAGTCTCCCAGTACACCAGGGTCACCAAGTACTCCAAGTTCTATAAGTACTCCTGGCTCACCAAGCACTACAGGATCACCAAGCACTACAGGATCACCAAGCACTCCAGGTTCACCCATCACTGTTCAAACCCCAAGCACACCAAGTAAATGATTATTTTTTTATTATATTTTTACTTTTTCGTTTCAGTATGTAGCCAATATACCCAGCTTTAGCGGAATTTTATATGGAAAAAAAATCTATAAATCCTTATTAGCGTACATTTAAATTTAGTCCCCATGAATAAAAACTTTACTAAAGTACCATTTAAAAAGTGATATTTCACTAAATTAGACATTGAATTTGGAGTCTATTTAAGCAGTGCACACACAAATAAACATTATTTGACGTCAGATCTTACTTTTCAAAGATATTTCATAAAAATGGTATTCACCAATCTCCAAGTGATGGCCGTTTTCCATTTAAAATAATGTAGGATTCCCTATTCAGAAGGAAATGCTAAAGGGTTTGATTTTTTTTAAAATACTGTTTAGTTTGGGGGGCCCAAATTTGTTGTTTTTTTTAACTTAAAGGAGTAATACCTGATAGCATCCATATTGAAGCAATAAGAAAAAGACACAGAGTAGAGAAAAATCTGAAAAAGGTCAATATGAGCTATATATTTTGAACTCATAATATTCACCACTGTTAAAGCCAGAGACACTTTTTTCATTTTCCTCATATAGGCTGTATCTCCTCTTATATGAAATGCGGGCATCACACAAATGTCCAGTTCATTTTTATTAGTGTAAGTCTTCTTATATGAAAATTTTGTTTTAAATGTTAACAATTTCTTAGATTCTTTTCAATTCTTTTTTTTTTTTTTCAGCCGAGTGCAAGGATAAGGAGCTTGTTGATTTGACCACTGCTAACTACACTCACCGTTTCCTTGAATCAATCACTGTTACGCCAACCTTGATTCATTCGGGATATGAACTGAACGTGCCCCCCGGTGTTAGTACCGTCTCACTTAGTTTCAAGTTCATTACAGGTGCAACACTTGTTGCTCTAGATCTGAAGGGATCATTTGATTCTTACCAAGTCTTCATCAGATACCCAGATGGCAGGCTGTCAGAACCTTTGAAGGTAATCTGGTTGAATAGATTTTTGAGATTTGATTTATTGATATTTTTTTTTACAGTTGTAGGAAATGGTTTAAATCTAGGGCAATTTCATTGTCATAGAAAATGATACTTTTTAGATTATATTTTACACTGCAGTAATAATTTCTTTGTTAGTAGAAGTTTGCTGATGTAGTTAGAATTGTGTTATAGGTTTTTGTTTTTGTTTGATGTGCTGTATATTGAAATGTGTTGCAAAGACACTCCTTTATTGTGTGTCTGTCTACCTAAGGATGTTAAAAGATAATCTGATTTTTATTTATTGCTTTTGAAACCATTAACCTGTTGTTGATTTTCCCAAATGATAATTGCTAAAAAAAAATTAAAATCATTTAAAAAATATTTTTTTTTAAAATTCTTATTTGCTTTTTTTTTTAAATTTAACAGGGATCAATTATCTTTTTTAAAACAAAGTTATAATTATAATGTAGATAACAGCTAAGTATGATTAGTAAATTTTTAGTTGGGCCTAATATGTGGTATCAAAATGATGGTTGCTTTGACAGTTCTAAAATAAGATAATTTTATAACTGTTGCTTTTGATTGAATATATATTATGTAATGTCAAACTGACCTGGATCTACAGAAAAAATTGATAAAGCTTTGTAAAATCTGATAACAGGTTTTCCATAAATATCTTAAATTAACATCACTGGTGGTATCCTTGTGTTTATATCCCTCTGTTAAGAAACAACAAAAAATAAGAAGTTCTATAGGTAATAAAGTCGTCAGATAGCATGTGTCATTAGATAATAAAGTCAGCACCTAGAATATGTCTTTTGATAATAAAACAATAGCTAGCATGTGACATAGATAATAAAATCAATAGCTAGCATGTGTCATTAGATAATAGTGTCAATCAGCTGGCTTGTGTTATGCTCTAACATGTCATCCATTTATGGTTATACTTTGAATAAAACATTCGTCAGTATCTTAAAGTTATCAAATGCTGATATCCTTTGCCATCCGGTATTACTTAACCATTACAAACTGACAATTATAAAATCTTTTGCCATCCTGTATAACTTAACTATTACACAGACAATTATAACATCTTGCATAATTATCTGTACTGATGAAAATGAAGTGCATCCAAAAAATAAATTATTACTTGTGAAATTTGCTTTGTCCACAATTCCAGAACACTGATGGAAAAGATGTTTTCACTAATAGCAGAAACGTTTTTGGTGCCGAACAAGGAGAAGAATTTGTAATAATTATCAGTGGAGGACTGGTTGGCTTTGATGTTCAAGTTACTGAGTTTAAAGTTTGCCTTCCTGACATTGGTAAGCCTTAGGTCTGCGGTAAGCCTTAGGTCTGCAGTAAACCTTGGGTCTGCAACTGTTCACAATAGATGTAACTTTTGTTTGTTTTTCTTACCCTCCCCCCCCCCCCCCCCCCCCCCCCCCCCTGTTTAAAGTTTGCCTTCCTGACATTGGTAAGCCTTAGGTCTGCGGTAAGCCTTAGGTCTGCAGTAAACCTTGGGTCTGCAACTGTTCACAATAGATGTAACTTTTGTTTGTTTTTCTTACCCCCCCCCCCCCCCTCAAACCATCCTCCACAACTTGTAACAAGTTGCTTAGTACAAATACCAAGGAGTCAGAATGATCAATACATTTATCAAAACATAGAAGAAGATCTTACACAGTGCTAATACCATAGATGGAGCGATCTCAAAAGAATACTAAGAGTACTGGTACCTAAGTTGTTGCCCAATCACAGTTGTTAAACCACACGTGTAGTAGAATGAGGCAAATGCTGTGCCAGAAATGGGGAGCAGAATTGTGTAGTAGGATGAGGCAAATGCTGTGCCAGAATTGGGGTACAGAATGTTGGATGCCAAATATTTTCCCTCAGTTAAACATTAAAATACCCGTATGTAAATAGGTCAAATGAGTGAATAAAGTCAGGCTCCTATTTTAAGATGTGCGCAGAAAGAAAAATAACATTAAATATCATTCTGGTTGATACCCAACAGCAATTACCTAACAGCCAATAACAAATACCAAAAAACGAATACACAACAGCCAATAAATACCAAAGGAACAACAGCAGTTCCTTATACCCAAAGTCCAGAATTTAACGGCCAATATTTAACAGTTCTGAGGCCAACACCCAATGCTCAACACCAAAAGCTGGATTATCCAAAAGTCAATACCCGACAGCCAATACTAAACCTCCTTCACAAAACTATTTGTGCTTTATATTTTTTACTTGGTTGTAAACAAGCCTATATTTCATCAATACCTTTGATGTTAACTTAATCATTTCTATTTCAGAATTCTGCCGCCTTGATTTTGATGATGTTCAAAAGGCTCTAACGTTTTTGACCGTGAACAATATTCTCGGCGTCAACATTGAAGATGGCAGCTTGGTTTATTATGGTTGGAATGGGGATTTCGTGGAAGATGGAGTTGTTATCCAAGGGTCCTGTTATGAATGGTATGAGTATAGAGTTGATGATTGAGTACTTTTATAGCGCTTGTGTCCATGCTATTTTAGCATGCTCACAGCACTCTGATGTCCTAAAATCTTGTTAAAGAAAAATGTCTTTAAATGTTTCTTAAATGTTTCATTTTTTTTTATCATTTTCAATTTCCCTCAAAGATTGTGGCAAACTGTTCCATAATTGAAGCCCTATAGCCAGATAGAACATAATGTGTAGATCACCTCTGACGCTGTTCTCAAAATTCTTCATTCTCCGATGTATTATATCTACAGTAAAAAAAATGAAGTTAAGACGGCCGATGGATTATTTACAACTGTGCTCTCAAAAATAAAAATAAATGAAGATTTTTTTTTTTTTTTTGTAAAGGCTCTGTATTATTTGTAAAGGTGCATTACTATTTGTTAAGGTTCAGTACTATTTGTAAAGGTTCTGTACTATTTTTAAGGATCTTTACTATTTCTAAAGATTCAGTACTATTTGTAAAGGTACAGTAATGTTTGTAAATGTACAGTACTATTTGTAAATGTACAGTACTATTTGTAACGGTTCAGTACTATTTTACAACTTGAGGCAGCACAATCACTAAAATGTGTTCTTCCATTTTTCAGTGTATGCGTGAAAAGCGAGCTAAAGTGCACCGTGGAGAACTGCACTGCTTGTCCAAACTATACTTCAGAATGCAAGGGCGATTGCAAGGAAGCCATAACGGTATTCACATTTGACCAGCAGGGTGTTCCTGACCACTGCCAGGTCAATGACTCACAGCCTTGTCAGCCAGAAGAATGCACAAGTAAGTCAACCTTTTTTTGTTGCAGTTTTACAGTCATACCTATTTTGTTATGTCAAATGGAAAAATTGCATTTTAAGGCCCGATGAAGCATGGCTGTATGTGTAACAATAGATCTAGTCAGCCTTATTATTTTTTTATGGCTTTATGTAAGAATAGATCTCGTTAGTCTCATAATTATATGATGGCCTTATGTGTAACAATCGATCTAGTCAGCCTGATAATTATATCATGGATTTGTGTAATAATAGATCTAGTTAGCCTGATAATTATTTGATGGCTTTATGTGTAACAATAGATCTATTCAGCCTGATAATTATATGATGGCTTTATGTGTAACAATAGATCTAGTCAGCCTGATAATTATGTGATGGCTTGATGTGTAACAATAGATCTATTATGGCTGTATGTATAACAATATATCTAATCAGCTTGATCAGTTATGGCTGTAAACATGACAGTATATCTAATCAGCTTGATCAATTATGGCTGTATGTGTAACAATATATGTAATCAGCTTGATCAATTATGGCTGTATGCGTAACAATATATCTAATCATCTTGATCTATTATGACTGTATGTACAAAACTATACATGACCTCCTCAGCAACGCCTTTTTGCCCTGGACCTTGGACATCTTGGAGCCCTTGCACCAACTGCCAACAGACACGTACGCGTGAATGCAAGGATGACTGTGGTGATGTCTGCAATGACTTCAACACAACAGAGTCTCAAATTTGTGACAGCTGTGTCTCACCATGTAAGAAATGTTGAAAATTCAATCATAAATTTCTCATTTGCTTATCACATTTCAAAAATCATGTCATTTTCTAATCTTATCACCAACTTAACCTCAATCATAACTAAAATCTTGTCACCATAATATTCTGTGGTTCTCAATCTGCCGGTCACAATCTGCCTCAGAGGTCACTTAATGTGTGGTTTTATTTTCTTTATACCTCCTTTTTTTTAAAATTAAACATTCTTTACAGCAATTGAACAAGTTTCTAATTGCTACATACACCATGACTGCAACACTAGTTTCTAATGCTACATACACCATGACTGTAACACTAGTTTCTAATGCTACATACACCATGACTGCAACACTAGTTTCTAATGCTACATACACCATGACTGCAACACTAGTTTCTAATTGCTACATACACCATGACTGAAACACTAGTTTCTAATTGCTACATACACCATGACTGCAACACTAGTTTCTAATGCTACATACACCATGACTGCAACACTAGTTTCTAATGCTACATGCACCATGACTGCAACACTAGTTTCTAATGCTACATGCACCATGACTGCAACACTAGTTTCTAATGCTACATACACCATGACTGCAACACTAGTTTCTAATGCTACATACACCATGACTGCAACACTAGTTTCTAATGCTACATACACCATGACTGCAACGCTAGTTTCTAATGCTACATACACCATGACTGCAACGCTAGTTTCTAATGCTACATACACCATTACTGCAACGCTAGTTTCTAATGCTACATACACCATGACTGCAATGCTAGTTTCTAATGCTACATACACCATGACTGCAACGCTAGTTTCTAATGCTACATACACCATGACTGCAACACTAGTTTCTAATGCTACATACACCATGACTGCAACACTAGTTTCTAATGCTGCATACACCATGACTGCAACAGTAATTTCTAATGCTACATACACCATGACTGCAACACTAGTTTCTAATGCTACATACACCATGACTGCAACACTAGTTTCTAATGCTACATACACCATGACTGCAACCATACACCATGACTGCAACAGTAATTTCTAATGCTACATACACCATGACTGCAACACTAGTTTCTAATGCTACATACACCATGACTGCAACACTAGTTTCTAATGCTACATACACCATGACTGCAACACTAGTTTCTAATTGCTGCATACACCATGACTGCAACACTAGTTTCTAAAGCTACATACACCATGACTGCAAAACTAGTTTCTAATGCTACATACACCATGACTGCAACACTAGTTTCTAATTGCTACATGCAAAATGACTGCACCACTAGTTTCTAATTGCTACATACGCCATGACTGCAACGCTAGTTTCTAATTGCTACATGCAAAATGACTGCACCACTAGTTTCTAATTGCTGCATACACCATGACTGCAAAACTAGTTTCTAATTGCTGCATACACCATGACTGCAACACTAGTTTCTAATGCTACATACACCATGACTGCAAAACTAGTTTCTAATGCTACATACACCATGACTGCAACACTAGTTTCTAATTGCTACATGCAAAATGACTGCACCACTAGTTTCTAATTGCTGCATACACTATGACTGCAACACTAGTTTCTAATTGCTACATACGCCATGACTGCAACGCTAGTTTCTAATGCTACATACACCATGACTGCACCACTAGTTTCTAATTGCTACATACGCCATGACTGCAACACTAGTTTCTAATTGCTACATGCAAAATGACTGCACCACTAGTTTCTAATTGCTGCATACACTATGACTGCAACACTAGTTTCTAATTGCTACATACGCCATGACTGCAACGCTAGTTTGTAATGCTGTGTACACCATGACTGCACCACTAGTTTCTAATTGCTACATACACCATGACTGCACTACTGCTTTCTAATTGCTACGTACACGATGACTGCACTACTAGTTTCTAATTGCTACATACACCATGACTGCCTTACTAGTTTCTAATTGCTACGTACACCATGACTGCACTACTGGTTTCTAATTGCTTTGTACACCATGACTGCACTACTGGTTTCTAATTGCTACATCCACCATGACTGCACTACTAGTTTCTAATTGCTTTGTACACCATGACTGCACTACTGGTTTCTAATTGCTACCTACACCCTGTCTGCACTACAGCTGCATGAAAAGACCAAAACTCATCCAGAGGTCGCTAATTACATTTAAAAAATTTCCCATCCAGCAAGACAGCTGCAAGCTGTTAGACCTCTTCAGGTTTGTTTTCTTTTAAAGACTTTAAATTTGGCAGCCACCAGTAGGCAGTTATCAGTAGGAAGCCATCAGTAGGCAGTCATCAGTAGGCAGACATCAGTAGGCATTCATCAGTAGGAAGTCTTCGGTTGGCAGCCATCAGTAGGCTGTCATCAGTTGGCAGCCATCAGTAGGCAGTCATCAGTAAGCAGTCATCAGTAGGCAGCCATCGGTTGGCAGTCACCAGTAGGCAGTCATCAGTAAGCAGTCATCAGTAGGCAGCCATCAGTTGGCAGCCATCAGTTGGCAGCCATCAGTAGGCAGCTATCAGTAGGTAGCCATCAGTAGGTAGCCATCAGTAGGCTGTGATCAGTTGGCAGCCATCAGTTGGCAGCCACTAGTAGGCAGCCATCAAGTGATATTTTGCACATTTTAATTGTTCATTGTGCAATACACATTTGTAAACCAACTTTTCATTTCTTATTCAAATTTTAAAAACAATTACCACCAAAAAAAATTATTTTATGTAGCCCCAATTGTAGAATGATTATGCGATATGAAAATAAACATGCATGGTACAGAACTGTTTACCCTCAAACACTTAAAATCGTAACAATATCATCACAAAATCGTTCAATACATTATCTTAATAGTAAAAAAATTAACATACAGTATATATGATGTACACCTCAAAATCGTAAGAGTAAACAGGTCGGATGGTAAGAAAAAAAAACCTATAAATTAAACTATTGATAAGTCAATTACAGTCAATATTCAACCACCCCCTCCCCCACCCCCATTAAGTTCTCAACACCTGTTTCTAAAATTCTAGAAATAATCCTGGTTGTGTGTTGCCACAACTTGGCAAATGTTATCAAGGGGTAGCAACGCTAAAAAAAAGATTAAGAACCGCTGATCTCACAACTTTGTTTTAAAAGACCACACTACACAAACTTTGTCCCCCCCCCCCCCCATCCCCCCCCCCATCCCATCAATAAATGAGACACCCCCCCCCCCCTCTTGAACTGTTCTTCTGCAGCCACTACCAGCACATACTGCCCTGACGATGAAGTTCCCCCCTCCCCACCTCCCCCCCACTCCTCCCACCAATAAATGAGACCCCCCCCCCCCCCTCTTGAACTGTTCTTCTGCAGCCACTACCAGCACATACTGCCCTGACGATGAAGTCCCAGGCTGTGAAACCAGATACACAGAATGCAGTGAGACATGCGCTGTTTACAGGAAGAATTCAACATGTTCTCAGGATGAGGACATTGACTGTATCAAAAACTGTGTGTGTCCAGAAGGTTACAAGAGGTTAGAGGTTTACTCAAATAAAGGGCTGTCTGAAATTTCAGTTATGGCTCACATGTCTCTAATATTGAGAAATATAATTTGTCCTGCATTAATTTATCTATTTAGCCCAGTGGTGAGGAAATAGATCTGATAACTTTACCAATACAACTTTTACAGTAACTTTAAAACAAAAACTAAAACATCTAAAACAAAATGCTGTATTTTTAAACGTTTTCCATTAAAGTTCAAAATAAGGGCTCCGGTGGAGACCCATTCTATGAGGTGATGCTTTAATTATTACTAAGATAGAACCTCTAAATAATTCATAACTCAAATTAAATTTAAAAGTTTGCCCATTAACATTTGTAGTAAAATGTAAGTCTATATATAGAAAATGCAATTAGTGTCCCTCGCCCCGACATTGAAATATTATGAGATCGAAATCCTCCAGTTTTGTAATATAGATTTTAAGTGCGTTTATATCAGGTTTGATCTATCTATCCATTAATTGTAATTTTATTTATTTAGCTCAAATAAGAAGAAAAAAAGAAATAAACATTGTATTAAGTTTCTTTAGGTTTTCCTCTACCCTGTGTATATTTCTTATTGCTTCAACCTGGACTCAGTCCTCCTATAAAGAAAAAAAGAAATTTGGGCCCCCCCCCCTAACCCTGAACAGAATATTTTTTTTAAAATTCAAACCCTGTCAGCATTTCCTCCTGGATATTTATGTTTAATAACTATGTATCCGAAGTTTGATCCAGATCCATTAATCTATGTAGAAATGTATGCAGTGCAAACAGACATATTTTCTCATGTGTATAGTAGATAGTTATTATACCAGAAGAAAACATGAAATCTTATGAGATTTTACAATAGATATTTTTATTAAAGACATACAACTAATTAAAAATCACCATTTATATATTGAAGGATGACGATGTGACGTTCTTTGGTTTTTCATTGACTTGGACTGTTTTTAAATGTAACACTACATTGTCATTATCTGATGGCAGTAAAAATATCAAGACAGAAACTTATTGTGTATGACATTAGAGAAGGTTATAACGAATGTAAAACATGTAAATATTTTTAATTAAAAAAAATAGAAAGCTACCATGGACTGAAGTTGTGACATTTATAAGCAATTGTGTCTTTGAGACATTGCTATACTCATCAAATGCACTCACCCATTCAGTGACATAGTTTGTCTTTGAGACATTGCTATACTCATCAAATGCACTCACCCATTCAGTGACATAGTTTGTCTTTGAGACATTGCTATACTCATCAAATGCACTCACCCATTCAGTGACATAGTTTGTCTTTGAGACATTACTATACTCGTCAAATGCACTCACCCATTCAGTGACATAGTTTGTCTTTGAGACATTGCTATACTCATCAAATGCACTCACCCATTCAGTGACATAGTTTGTCTTTGAGACATTGCTATACTCGTCAAATGCACCCACCCATTCAGTGACATAGTTTGTCTTTGAGACATTGCTATACTCATCAAATGCACCCACCCATTCAGTGACATAGTTTGTCTTTGAGACATTGCTATACTCGTCAAATGCACCCACCCATTCAGTGACATAGTTTGCCTTTGAGACATTGCTATACTCGTCAAATGCACCCACCCATTCAGTGACATAGTTTGCCTTTGAGACATTGCTATACTCGTCAAATGCACCCACCCATTCAGTGACATAGTTTGCCTTTGAGACATTGCTATACTCGTCAAATGCACCCACCCATTCAGTGACATAGTTTGCCTTTGAGACATTGCTATACTCGTCAAATGCACCCACCCATTCAGTGACATAGTTTGCCTTTGAGACATTGCTATACTCGTCAAATGCACCCACCCATTCAGTGACATAGTTTGCCTTTGAGACATTGCTATACTCGTCAAATGAACCCACCCATTCAGTGACATAGTTTGCCTTTGAGACATTGCTATACTCATCAAATGCACTCACCCATTCAGTGACATAGTTTGCCTTTGAGACATTGCTATACTCATCAAATGCACACACCCATTCAGTGACATAGTTTGCCTTTGAGACATTGCTATACTCATCAAATGCACTCACCCATTCAGTGACATAGTTTGTCTTTGAGACATTGCTATACTCATCAAATGCACACAACCATTCAGTGACATAATTTGCCTTTGAGACATTACTATACTCAGCAAATGCACACACCCATTCAGTGACATAGTTTGCCTTTGAGACATTGCTATACTCATCAAATGCACACAACCATTCAGTGACATAATTTGCCTTTGAGACATTACTATACTCAGCAAATGCACACACCCATTCAGTGACATAGTTTGCCTTTGAGACATTGCTATACTCATCAAATGCACACAACCATTCAGTGACATAATTTGCCTTTGAGACATTACTATACTCAGCAAATGCACACACCCATTCAGTGACATAGTTTGCCTTTGAGACATTGCTATACTCATCAAATGCACACACCCATTCAGTGACATAGTTTGCCTTTGAGACATTGCTATACTCATCAAATGCACACACCCATTCAGTGACATAGTTTGCCTTTGAGACATTGCTATACTCATCAAATGCACCCACCCATTCAGTGACATAGTTTGCCTTTGAGACATTGCTATACTCATCAAATGCACCCACCCATTCAGTGACATAGTTTGCCTTTGAGACATTGCTATACTCATCAAATGCACACACCCATTCAGTGACATAGTTTGTCTTTGAGACATTGCTATACTCATCAAATGCACACACCCATTCAGTGACATAGTTTGCCTTTGAGACATTGCTATACTCATCAAATGCACCCACCCATTCAGTGACATAGTTTGCCTTTGAGACATTGCTATACTCATCAAATGCACACACCCATTCAGTGACATAGTTTGTCTTTGAGACATTGCTATACTCATCAAATGCACACACCCATTCAGTGACATAGTTTGTCTTTGAGACATTGCTATACTCATCAAATGCACCCACCCATTCAGTGACATAGTTTGCCTTTGAGACATTGCTATACTCATCAAATGCACACACCCATTCAGTGACATAGTTTGTCTTTGAGACATTGCTATACTCATCAAATGCACACACCCATTCAGTGACATAGTTTGTCTTTGAGACATTGCTATACTCATCAAATGCACACACCCATTCAGTGACATAGTTTGCCTTTGAGACATTGCTATACTCATCAAATGCACACACCCATTCAGTGACATAGTTTGTCTTTGAGACATTGCTATACTCATCAAATGCACACACCCATTCAGTGACATAGTTTGTCTTTGAGACATTGCTATACTCATCAAATGCACACACCCATTCAGTGACATAGTTTGCCTTTGAGACATTGCTATACTCATCAAATGCACACACCCATTCAGTGACATAGTTTGTCTTTGAGACATTGCTATACTCATCAAATGCACCCACCCATTCAGTGACATAGTTTGTCTTTGAGACATTGCTATACTCATCAAATGCACCCACCCATTCAGTGACAGTTTTACTCAATGCTGATAAACAAACGTATTCTTCAAAACAATGATAGTAATTTTTGTTTTATTTCAACACAATAGGAAACAATTTCAATCCAATAAAAAATATGCTTACCTACTATATGTAGATTTGTGATCCATTGTTTGGTTTTCTTGTGATTGATCAACCTATCTACTAACAAGCAAACAAAGTCACACTGAGCTTTGCATAGCAGCCTATAAATGTTTGTTTTTTAAATTGTCTATTACCAGAGATGTCTATGGTAAATGTGTTCAACCAGAGAAGTGTGAGTGCTATGATGGCAACACAGCTATACCTATAGGGGTGATATTTAACAAGACTGATTGCGGCTATTGGTAAGTCATTACCTATAGGGGTGATATTTAACAAGACTCATGGCAGCTATTGGTAAGTGATTAACTACGGGGGTGATATTTAACAAGACAGATTACAGCTATTGGTAAGTCATTAACTACGGGGGTGATATTTAACAAGACAGATTGCAGCTATTGGTAAGTCATTACCTATAGGGGTGATATTTAACAAGACTGATGGCAGCTATTGGTAAGTCATTTACTACAGGGGTGATATTTAACAAGACTGATTGCAGCTATTGGTAAGTCATTAACTAAGGGGGTGATATTTTTTTTAAAATGTAACATTTATTCTAGCAAAAAGGAATGAAAATAGAAGACTTGTTTTTATCTTACTTTGTTTGGTGTTCAATATTATTGATAAATGTAACATGGATGATGAAAATGTTTAGTCAGCAAAAGCTCTATCCTTCATTTTTAAAATCTGTGGTCTAAACCTGTTGAACATTCAGAACTTACATTTGTTGATGCTAATTACACTATCAACATTTTTTTTAAACCTACAGCAATTGTACTGAAGATGGCGTTCTTTGTAAAGTAGTAGATGGATGTGAGTAAAATAATCATCATCATTATTTCATCATAATTAATACATCAGTTGAAGTTATTCATTTTTTTAGTTTTAGTATTTTAACAATTTGTTGAATGCATTAAAGCATATACCGATGCATATTGGTTATTTATTCTTGTCATATATTTTAGTATGGAATAGACCACTGAATATCCTAAGTGTTTTATATGTAAGGTTGTGAGACTTCAGAATGGTCAAGTTGGTCAAACTGCTCAGAGCCATGTGGGGAAGGCATCAGGAGTAGATCTAGGTAAGGAGAAATAATGTTGAAACACCTAAAGCAAAGGCCCAATACTATCAAGTTTGTAATGATTTTTAATATTTATTTCAAAAAAAAAGAAATTAACTTTTAGGTTCAAAAGAAATTGAAATTGTAAGTATGTTTTCAATAGGTTCAGTTGTTAAAACAATATTTGCCAAGATATATATTTTTAGGATAATTGGCTCCAAAGCATTTAAATTTAACAGAGTTTTTGTGTGTGTATCAAAAGATTTGTTAACATCATGCAGAAGCAAGTGTTGATTTCTAAATGACTGAATTGTTCAAATATTACTTGATATAATTTGGCCGAATGTTTTTCAGAAACGTTGGTCTGGGCTGCTCTGAGGAGGAAAGCAGTTTTGAAACTCAAATCTGCAAGTTAGGTGACTGCCCGTGTGTGTATGATGGGAAGGTGTGGGAGTCAGGTGAAAAGATTGTGGACAATCAGTGCCGTCAATGGTAAGGAAAAAACTAATCCATTTGAAAAGCTTCATTACTTTAATTGTATTAGTATGTGTATGTTAGAAATAGACTAACATTTCTTCAATGAATTCAACGTTAATAAAAATGTGACGATATTGCTTTCTCTATCATTTAAGAAACACCAAACCCCGAATTAGAACATAGAATATTTGATTACTTTGTTGTGAAAATAGGTTGAAATACTTACACTAGTCAAGTATGAGATTGTTAGTATGCTGCCATGGTGTTTGTTACCTTTCCAAAGCTTATGTTGAACAATCAAGTGTTAGTTATATGCTGTGATGTGAACAGCTGTTGTTAAAGAATAGGTATTACAAATTTTAATTTTACTGATAGAGCTTAAGTATGTTGAATTACCAAGACTCTAAAAAAAAAACTATCAGTTTGGATCACATGCTCTTGTGGTAAGGTTGGTAAGTCTCTGTTGACAACATCCAACAAGTATCCAACAATGAGAGAAAAAAATGGTGCACATTTTTATTTTTAAAATACTGGTATACTTATTTTTTTGTACAGGTCATTACAGTTATAAACAGTGTTAAACAGAGATTTAAGGGGTGGATTAAATACACTTTAATTTAACCCTCTTTAAGCAAAAGTGTTTTTCTTGCTCAGTAGCATTAACTTTCTCATGGTTAAAACAAATCCATGGAAGATGGAACTATAAAAAGTGATAGACTCATATTTGGACATGGGTAAAAAAAATTATGTCCGGTCCCAAGATTAATATAACACAATAACTCAATAACTTTGTGGTTGTAAATTAATTTTTTAGTAATTAAATAGGTAATTTTTAACCCATAATTTAACTTTAAAGCTTAATTTTTTTCCCTCTTTATTACTAAAATAATTGTTTAAAAAAGAAAATACAAGCAAAAAGTATATTTAATGATTTTCAAACTTAAAGGATAGTTATACAAAGGCTGCAGAGTCAGCATTTTCAGGTTTTGTGCTTTTTTTTTAAAACTATCACGTTGAACTTGAAGAGCCCGTTTATTTTTGGGGATTGTTTTGATTTTCCAAGTGCACTGAGATTACTGATAAAGATAATGATACCTCAATTTCTGCTTTCGACAGTCTAATTTGATGCTCTCAATGATATTGTTGGAGTTGGTTGCAGGGTGAGGCAAAAATGTCAGTCTGCAGATCAACACACTATCACTCTTTAAATACTATCAAACTTTTTTGATTTAACAAATAAATATTTAATATGAAATATTTTTTGTTCTAAACCAGTTATTGTCTTAATGGAGAGATGCAATGCACCCAAACAGACATTGGTACGTATATTTTACTATAGAATAAATAGTTAAATTTAAATGCTCTTCTTATTTTCACAAGCAGAATGCCCAGAGAACATTTTGATCTTTCTAATTATTTTGAATCCCAAGTTAACCTTTTCTGAAATGTGATATTCAATGTTTAAAGCAAAGAACAAATAAATGTACTGACAAGCTCAACATAGAACCATGATAAAAATTAGGTCAAAACTTTATCATATGATTCTACATGTTTTAATAAGTAATTGTAAGTTGTCGTCAATGTTTAGACTCTTGTTGTTGGTTAAGGAAAGTATCACTCTCTTGGGGAAGCATCACTCTCTTTGGGAAGTAACACTTTCTTGGGGAAGTAACACTTTCTTGGAGAAGTAGCTCGCAGCAGTGATATAAAAACCTGCACGAACACATCCAAGGCCTAATTTATTTTAGAGACGATAATTCTTTGTTAACTGACATCTACATTTTACAACAATCAATCACTTTGCAGATTCCTATAAATCCATTGCATAAGGTGACACAGATATTTTACTTGAAAGCAAACCAAAAGTTTTAAATAATTATTGCCCTTCTTGCTCTTAAACATTTACTCCTATCTGCTCTAAGGTTCAGCTTCTTCTCTAACATTAATTTCTACTACAGAAAATTCACCAAGAAACTATCGAAAAGTATTGGGCTTAATTCTCATCCTCAAAAAAAAAAGTTTTTTTTTCTTACTTAATAAGAAATAAGAGTGTTAAGATTTTCAAGTTAAAATACTTTGCACATGTGAAAAAAATATTATAAAAAGTTGTGCCCTGAAAAAAAGCTACATTTTTGTTAAAGTTTCCATTTTCTGTTCTCAATATTGTTTTCTTCTTATAGGTAACAAAACGTGGACCAGTGATGTTTGCACTGAATTATGTTATTGCAATCACACCACTGGAAATGAAGAGTGTAAAACAATTAATGACAAGTGTGCCGAAATAAAGGAAAACTGCAATAACGTAAGCAAAATTCCTTGAGAAACTTGTAGGCATCAAAGTTTTGATCACCTTTATTGACCTGAACGGCACACATCATAAAATGTCTTTCACTCACAATATGTCTTGCTTTTCTTTACCACAAACCTTGTCTTCTTCTTCCTTTCAGGACACCCATAAACTTAAAGAAACACTTTGTAAAATGTAAACAACCTCATAATGGTTTTTGTAATAGTTCTTATTATGTCCTTCCCCAATTCTTTGTTAACAGGACACGCATACTCTTAGAGAGACTGATGACCCATGCTGCCCTGAATGTGTACCGATTATGAAACCATGCGCTTATGCTAAACAGGACTCCATTGAACTCAAGGTCAATGTAACTGGACATGGCTTGTGTGTCTCAGACACTCAGGAAGTTGGAGTAAGTGGCTAAAACAATTAGATCGCTGAAAGCGCTTTTAAGATGAAATAATTCCATTTGAAAAATGTTTCATTAATTTGTTGTTGAGCAATAGTCAGAAACATAAACAGGTCTAATTTAGTGTACATTTTAAAGAAAGAAAAAAAAAGGCCCAAGCTCTGTAACTAGAGACAGTCACTATCCCATCCTTGGTACAACACAGGCATTGAATAGTTTTGGAGCTCTCAAACTGCCAAGACAATAACATGCAGCATGAGTTTTTCTTTACTGTCGGATCAATGTGACAACATGTAGTTCATTAGGCCACTTGAAATGAATGGGATTGCTGGATGGTGGAATCAGTAGTCAGGGCCAGACATGACCGCACATAGCCAGACATGACCGCACATAGCCAGACATGACCCCACATGGCCAGACATGACCAGATATGACCACACATGGAGAGACATGACCACATATGACCATAGAGTACCACTCGGGCAGACAGGACCCCACAGAGGTTCACAGGGGCCCAAAAAATCTAGAAATGGCCTAAGATGTCCACATGGCAAGACATGACCAAAAATGGCCAGAGAGGACCTCGCTGGCCAGACCAATCTAGAAATTGCCAGTGTGATCCATGCAGGACCAACAGTCCACAACACAGAAGTATCAGAAGCCACAGCCTCTTTTCAACTCTAGGCAAGTCAGACTGTTTAATGAGCAACTTGTAAGCAAGTAAGCAAGACCACAGGAACAAATCCTACAATAGCCTAGTAAAAAAAAATTCTATTCAATCAAGTAAATTGTTTTACATCAACTTCTCGCAACGCTTTTAGCTCCACCTGTAACCAAAACTTTTACACCATGGGTCCAAAGAATGGATTTGGAAAAGGGAAGAGGGTATCACTTATATCATGGCGGCATTGGTAGTGTTACAATGGTAGCGCATCTGCCTCACATTCAAAAGGTGCTGTGTTCAAATTTGTTGTTGGTCGTTTCAAGCTATGGGCTAACAGCTGTATGGAATTAATTAATCAGCTGAGCTATCCTTGTGGAGTGCCAAAACTGAAATTAAAGAACTAAATCTCTTATCACAGAGGAAAATTATGTTTTTTTTAGTGAAGAGCCATTTTATAAAATCTTAATGCTAATCTATATTCAGGAAGCCACAGACAGGGGTGGGCAGGGAGAACAAAATGCACATAAAATCTGGAGTAACATTTTACAGGGGATACTTAGAATTTTTAATAATGAAAACTGGCATTTATTCATTCAAAGAGCTGCATGCTCTATCACATCCACACACACACACAAAATAAAGGTAGGTTTCCAACAAAAATAAATTGTGTATATATACCTAAAGATGACATTATCAAAGGTACTAGATCAAAGTCAAACCAAACAATAGAATGGGGACATGAGGTCATTTATTCAACACCGCCATTTTATTTCCTCCAGGCATGCTCCGGAACATGTGGACAGAGCACAGACAAGGTGAACAAGATTGAATTACAGTCAGGCATATTTGAACTCTTCACCTCTCGGAACTGTGCATGCTGCAAAGCTAGTGTTAGCAGCCGGTCGGTTGATTTCCAATGTTCTGATGGAACGAAGGTTCAATATCTTGTAAACTACATATCTCACTGCAGCTGTGACCAATGCTCATGTAAGTATACAAATCTTGAGACATTTAAATGTAAAACAGTTTCAGTTTCTTAGCTCCACAGAAGTAAATTATTGTTATCTGTATAGGAATTTTGGTTAGTTGTCTAATAAAATATTTTACTTTTATATTTTTTTTCCTTGTAATTTTAAAATCAATTTTTACACAGAATACCAAAGCTTCTCCTGACATGGGACTTAAAAGGACATGAAAAAGAACTCGTTTCTTGCAGTTGAATAGCACGTTGCAGTTCAATATTGAAATGTTGCAATTGAAAAATGAAATGTTGGTTTTAATTTACGACTAAATTATATGACTGTGTTAAATGAATAAACTTGCTTTGAATTCATTTCTTGTTTCTGAGTTATAAGTACTGTGCTTGTTTTAATCATTGAAAATAATTTTTTATGGTAATGTGATTCAATTTTTCATTCCCAATTTGGTAAAATTTGACTCATATTTTCCGATGCTGCTAAGACCTCAAGCAGATTTCAAAGCTTTTTTTTTTAATTTATGAGACTTTTTAATAACTTTTGATTTAAAATTAAAAGCAAACATGTCTTGAAGTAAGGCTTTGTAAAAAATTTAATTTTGGCCTCAAATGGCTATGGGATTTTTTACAACCTCGGTAACTACGAGACAAACAAAACGAGGAAGAGCTTTAGAAAAAATTTAATTCATTTTAATAAAGCCTTTTTTGTGACTAAACATATAGCAATTTAAAATGTTCTAGATCACAAAGGTTCCATTTTGTAATACATGCAGTTCAGTGTACTTGGAATAATAGAGACATGTTAACCACTTGAACTCAGCCACAGTTGGAACATTTAAAGGAAGTCTTCATTTTGTTGATTCCAAGAGCAGCTCTCTATTACTTAAACCAACATAAAACATTCAGGGGAGAAGGGTGTGGTTTCATTTCTTGTCTACCAAACAATACGTTTCATCACTACTAACAGGGCTGGAAGTCACCAACCCAAAAAATAATACATGTCTATGATAAGAAAAGAACAGACAGATGAAACCATTAAATTAGAAACCTCACTTTTGAAAAAGTGAATCAATTCAAATACCTAAGACCTTTATTGATGAAAGAAATTATTGCTAACAGAAATAAAAGCATATCGGCCGGAAACAGGGCAAACTCCAGTTGTCAGAAAATACTCATAAGTAAAAACATTACAAGAAAACCAAAGAAAATTGTTTATAAAACTGTAATAAGACCAGTTGTAACATATGCAATTGAAATGGGGACCCTGACAAAAACGGTAGTGAACCTTTTAAACACGTGGGAGAGAAAATTTCTCCAGAAAATATATAGACCAAGAAAGGATGAATATGGATAAAGAATACTAACCAGCCAGGAATTGTACAGTCTATATCAGGATCCCACGCTACTAACAGACATAAAAAAGGGCAGGCTACGCTGGACAGGACACTTAGACAGAGGAGTGAAGATGGTGCATCACCAAAACCCCTGAGGAAAACGGATCAAAGGCAGACCTAGGCTTAGATGGATGATGATGTGGAAAAAGATATACAGCAGGTGGGAATCAAAACATGGAAAAGATAATCATCAGTTAGGTCTGAATGGAAGAAAATGGTGAGGTAGGCCAAAGCCCTTAATGGGCTGTAGCGCCATAAGGATGGATGGATGGATGGAAAGAATAAAAGTTGTACTCTTTCAAACCTTCACTATCTACTTAATATTTATGGGGATGTTTTTTAAAAATTGCCAAGTTGGAATTTTATGTTGTGTTTGCCTTTTAAAAATTTAAAGCAAATAAATAAGATTAGCAGTTAAATGAGAAATGAACAAAAATTATTTTTGTTTTGGAATTGCAGTGAATATTATATTAAAACAATTTGGTCGAGTTGTACCAGTCACACATAAAAAATTAGTTCAGGGTATTCAACGTCTAGTTTGAAATTCAGGTAGAACTGAATTATTGACAAGCTCCATTCACTAATGACAAGCCACCTAAATTCATAATCATCTACTGGCTGGCCAAACTTTGTCTAGATCTGTGTTTTCCAAACATTAAAGTTTAGTGGACAGTTAGATAAATTTGCCGTTGCACCATGGGACTGCTGCTAGATTTATTAGTTATTCGTATCCTTTTATTTGACCTTAAATATGTCATCAATTATTTTTTAATTTGTAATCTGCCAAAGCGAGGAGACTCAATTTAATTAAACCATTTAATGCAAGCCGTTACAAGGTTATTTTTTTTTGTCATGGCTGTGTAAGATGATTTTATTTTTATCCAGTTTCTTGTACCATGCTGTGCGGACCGATAATGTTAAGTTTCACAGACAACCACTAGGGGAAATACTGGTCTGGATCTCTTGGTTTAAGAAACTAGTGTGGTCCAACAATGAGAGGTTCCTCTGCTGTCATGGCTAGTGATAAACTAAAAGTCTTTACAGACCCGACCACTCCTAGAGCCCAATGTAGTGACTGGTTTAATCACTAGCTGAGCCAGCTATTCACCGGTACAGGAAGTTTAATATCACTTTAAGCTACAGGTTTATTATAACAAGGCAATTTTAATCTCTTAAACTGACAAAGTTTACATCAGTTCACTGCAATTAAGCTGTTTTCAGGAAAGGCTAATTGATTACAAAAAAAAAGCTATAATATACAAGAAAGCCTCTTAATTAAGAAAATGTATCATTTGTAATAATTAAATCTAGTTCATGAATGAAGTTCAGGCAATCCCACTGTGCGAATCATATTGAAATGAAGTTGAGTAATGTGAACCTTTTAAGAGATGTTTTTACAAAGATCAAGGAATAATTAACCAGATTTATATAAAACCTTAAAACAAAATAAAAAAATCCAAGCGGTGAAAAAATAATTATTTAAATTATGATCTAACTCTAAATTCATTGGATGCACTAGTTCAATCTCTGGAACTGTGGACAATTTCAACACAGCACAATGAACCCAGTACAGCAATCAATTATAACAATTTTTAAGTTATAAAGATAAGACAAACTAATGATTGTGAAAAATACCACCAATGGCAATAATGTACATATTTTCTTAGTTTTTCTGGTAGCTGAATTAGTTTTGTGGTACCTCAGGATTCCATCATTTTTTGGTGGAGTTTTAATTCCATTTTTATTGTTGTTCACCAACATTTTCCAATGCTACAACTCCAGCCATTGCTTGCATTAGTCAGCTTCCAGCAACAACATTATTTACTCATCGTAATTTACATTTTCTTGCCTTGCTGAATATTATAAACAATGATTAATTAAGAAAAAAAAATATATAAATTATGTTATATGTATGTACACCCATTAGAATTAACATGGAAAAAAAAAGATAGAATATTTAACCCAATTCCTCATTTTTTAAATTGACATTTAATAAAATTTACTCAGGTTGAAGTTTACTTGAAATGATTTCATTTAGATAAGTTTGGTGGTTTATCATATCTCTATATCTAAAAAAAAACAAAGGGCAACACATTGTATGGCTTACACTAAATAAATTATTAAGACATAATCTATCACTTAAACCACTTTGATTTTCACTTCAAAGTAGGCAAGGTTCAGAAATACACCCCATAGTTTGCTTTTTACCCAAACACATTTCACTTCTTAGCTTGCTTTTTACCCAACACACAAATACACTTCTTTCTTTGACCCAACACACTTCCTCTGAACCAACACATCCACAACACAAGTTCACTGCTTAGCTTCATTTTAGACAAGTCATCCACAACAACCAACCATTAACTGGTGTAAAAGAAAACCCCTAGGAGCTGAAGGAAATTTCAGATTATATCCCAGCGGCTATTTGTTTATTAATTTTTTCCATAAGTTTTTTATCCAGTTTTTTCTGCCGTAAATAAACAACAGCATATGAGGTGAGCCCAACCAACAGAGTCAACAACTCAAACTTCCAGAACTCTGCTTCCTCAACAGCAGGAGAAATATCACACCTGAAAAAGAAAAAAAAAACGAATGCATACAACTATATAAAATGTTTCAGAAGAGACAAAGCTTGAATCATAAATTCTGGCAGCACTTAATTTTAAAAATTAAATGTGAATTACTAGATGAAATTACATAATAGCCTCAGCAACACTGTATTTACCCAACAAATTCTTCTTTTCCATCTTCACAACGAATCTTTTCTTTATATCCATGATGTTTACAGTAAGGTACCTCAGCACGCTGCCAAGGTTACGAAAATGAACACAGTGAGTTAAATAAGTGAATAAAATACATTTTAATTAAATAATGATTTGATCTATTCAAACAATAGAAAATGCTTTTTTAAAAAACAACACTTTTTTGTGAAATAAAGATGTAGAGAAAAACAAACCAATTCATCTTTAGGGCATCTTTGGCATCGTGAAATGGATGTGTATACTGGACATGATGTTTCTTTTGGTTCTGAAAAATTATTTAAATAAATCTTAAAAAGCTTCTCAAAAACTGTCACAGCAAACAATTAAAATGAAATAAATTTCATGGTTTTAACTGTCCCCTTTCTTTCCAAATATTTAAAACTAGCAGAGATCATAACTTAGGCGGTATTTCCTCTCAGGGGGCGTCAAGTTGGCAACATAAGCACTACTGAGAGTAGGCTTAGAAAATCAACATCCAGGGCTATATCCCTCTTGTAGGAACAGACACATATCTGAATGGGTGGTCAGTAGCACCGCCCTATGTCCCTGCACAGGGCTCCACCGTAGTGCGTCCATCTTCTGATTATGTGTGATTTGTGTCTGGGTAAATACCCAGTGGAACACAAACAGCATGCGGCATCTCATTAATAAACCTTTTAACATCTGAAACACCTTCCTTGGACCACCTTGATCCAGGCTGGCATTTCCCATAGCCTAAAAAGCACATCTTCCACCCTGGACACTCTCAGGAACACATCTATCAAAAAAATATTTCGTTTATATCCTTCATAATTACCAACATCTCACCACTTATGACAAACAACATGGCAATGCTAACTAC